ATAGAGCATAAAAGGTCCTCTCTCATATATATATATGTCTGTATATATATATATATCTATATATATATACCCTAAACCCTAGTCCAATTATTATACGCCCCCCAGATTATCTTTGCCAGGCTGGAGCTAGACGTGATATCCTTCAACGTGGCCTTGAGCGCCTGCCGGAAGGGGAGCCTCTGGCAGTCCGCGGTGCAGCTACTCAGTGAGATGGAGGCGACCTCATTTAGTCGTGTCTTATGGTGAACCCTAAAAGGGTTTAGGGTTTAGGGTAAACCCTAAACCCAAACCCTAAACCGCTGTTGTGCTTCTTCGCCGGCCTTTTTCATTAGTTAGGAGAAGTGCTCTTACTGTGGTCTGGCTTTTGAGCGAAAAAGGCCTTAGGGTACGAGATTCGGATAAGAGTGTTGCGAAGGATTTGATGCGAGCTTTGGGCTAAAAGGCTGCAGCTTAACCCTAAACCCTAAACCACAGCTGCACCTGAAATGTCTCTGGGGGCCGACAAAACTTCTGCGCAGCATCCCATTGAAGAGTTATCTGGGCTGAGTTTTTGTTCTCAGCAATCGGTCGGTTAGGGCTAAAATTATCCCTAACCCTCCAGATACATATAGGGCCCTAGGGGCTCTAGTACCCTATATAGTAGATACCTTGGATGGTTAGGGTAATTAAGGCAGCTGAGGCTGTGGGGTTCGGAGCTGGAGGCCCTGCATTGCCTGGATCCCAATGGTACTTTTGGGGCTGTTTTGGCTGTAGGGTGGTGGGGTCTACCCATAGGCCCCTAAGTAGTTCCTTTTTGTGGCTTATATTTAGAATCCTACAAGGTAATCCCAAAAAGGAACTGCTTGGGGGCCTATGGGTAGGTTTAGGGTTGCCAAACGTTGCGCCTGAACCCCCACGCCCTAAAGCCCTAAAGCCAATCAACAAAAACCCATGGGTTCGAGCTTGAGACCTATAGATCTTTATCCCGATATGGGACTTTCCGAAAATTAGGGTACCTTATGTTGGGGTCCATATGATAAGGATCCTACTACTTATAGGGTATTGTATTGGGGTCCCCTATTTTCGGAAACCCCCATATGCCAGGCACCTGACATCGTGTCCTTCAACTCCGCCTTGGGGGCTTGTGCCACTGGACCTGCAGTCTTGAGGGTTTAGGGTTTAGGGTTCAGCTTGCTGAAACCAGCAGCAGCCCAAATTTAGAGGGTTTATGCTTTAGCGGGGCAGGCCCAAGCCCTCGATGATGCATCGCACAGGCCTAGCGCTACCAAGCCCTAAACCCTCATCCCTGAACCCTAAACCCTAAAACCCTAAACCCTAAACCCCCTAAACCCTAAGCCTAAACCCTAAACCCTAAATTTCTAAACCCTAAACCCATTACTGGCTCTGAGGACAAAGGGGGGCAATGGCGCGTGGCCGTGGCATTGCTAGAGGCATTGGAGACACGGAGCCTCGAGGCGGACAAGTTCACGCACCTCCGGCTGAAGTGTCTAGATCTACCCTAAACTACCAAACCCTACCTTTTCGGTAGGTTCTTATGGGGACCCTGCAAAACAGTAGGTTTTGCAAGTTGAAGTGTCTAGATCTAGGCTTAGGGGTCTAGGGCTTTAAGGGGTTAGGGTGTAGGGTTTGTTAGGGGTTTAGGGCTTTAGGGTTTAGGGGTTTAGGGCTTTAGGGTTTAGGGGTTTAGGGGTTTAGGGTTTTACGGGTTTAGCGGTTTAGGGTTTAGGGGTTTAGGGTTAGGGTGAATCTAGAGTTTACCCATAGGCTACACAGTAGCTCCCTGTTTGTGGGTTTATATCTAGGATCCTATAAGCCTAGAAGGCATTCCAAAAGAGGAACTACTATGGAGCCCCTGCTTACGGTTCAGGATCTACTGGTCTTTGGGCTTGCGGTTGAGTCTTTTGGGTCGTGGGCTCCGTGGTTTAGGCTTTGGGGTTTCAGGCTTTTTTGGGTCTCTGGGTTCAGGGTTTAGGGGTTCAGGGCTATCGGCTTAGGACTTTAGCATGTTTTTGAGTGAGTAAGCCTTTAAGCTCAGAGCACAGGGGCTTCAAATCTAGCTCCGAACGGGGGGGTCGGAAGTTTTCGGTACTCTTTTTGTCTGGCTCTCTGTCCTGCTTTAAGATCTTATCTGGTATCACTTTAAGCGTCGATCTTCAGCCTGCCCAGTATTTCAAAGATACGGCAATACCGTCAACTTCAGGCTCCTCAAACCTAGACTTCGCACCCTAAATGGGAGTTTGCGACATTAGGGTTACCTTATTTTGGGGGTCCTTATAAAAGGATCCTGCTATTTAGGATACTATATTGGGGTCCCCTATTTTCGGAAGCCCCCAAATCCATTGCCGACATCCTGAATCCTACGCAAGGTATAGCACCATCATCAACACCTGCGGTCGCTCAGAGGAGTGGATACAAGCGTTGAGTCTTCTGGGAGCTTCGGCCGCAATCAGCACCCCGAAGCCTGACACTCCAAGGCCTACAACCCAGAGCCCTCAACCCTCAACCCGATCCTAAACCCTAAACCCTAAACCTTAACCCCCAGTCCCTAAACCCTTTTGAACCCTAAACCCTGTAAGCCCTAAACCCGAGCCCCCACTCACCCTAAACCCTATAAGCTATGCAGGGACGCAGTGATTTCGGATGTTGGCGGCTGCAGGGCTCAGGATTGGGACTCTGTAGGAAGTTCCGGGAATCTATGATGGAAGCTGCGAGTTGCTCAATGCTAGAAGTCCGGTTTCGGGTTTAGGGTTTAGGGGGTTCAGTTTTTGGAGGGTTTAGTGTTTATAGTCTCAATTCTTGAAGTTCGGTCTAGTAATTTAGGTTCAGTGTCTAGGATCTTGGAACCAGTCGTACAGCCTGGAACCTAATCCTGCAAACCAAATCCCGAACCCAAAAGAAATGGGAGTTTCCGAAAATAGGGGACGCTAATATAGTACCCTAAGTAGTAGGATCCCGATTATACAAGGTACCCCTTATTTTCGGAAAGTCCCAAATCGGACTCTAAACCTTGCACTCTATGCCAAGATCACGCCCATCTGCGCGGAGTGGCGATCGACCTCGTTGTGCTGAACACATTGGTGACAGCCTGTGAACGGGCGAAGGAATGGCGCCTCGGTTCACAGCGGAGATCACAAATTACCGAAACTTCCATGTATGGTCGCTACACGTGTAGCCGCATAGCTCCCCAAAGCCTTTTTGCAATAAACCCGCCTCTACACCCGGTTGAGAGTTTACAGCGTGCACCATGGGCTCTAGTGGCCCTCTGTGGCGAATGGATGGCTTGGCTGATTCAGGGTTCATGGTTCAGCTTCCGGGAACCCTAAATCCTAAAAACTAAACCCTAAACCCTAAACCCAAACCCTAAACCCTAATTAGTAAGGGCTTAAACCCTAAGCCCTTAAACTGACCTGTGGGCCCCAAAGACTCCTTGGTTTTCGAGGTGATACTGTTGATGATATAAATCCTGCATTACCTTAAGGACCCTAAACTATGGGAGTTACGGCATATTCCTTATTATGGGTAATGCAGGAATTATATCATGAACCGTAACTCTAAGTCACATGAAAACAGTCAGCAAAATAACTCGCCAGGACGTGTTGCTTGGGTTTGCCTGGAAAAGTTTGTAAGCCGACCACGGCCAAAGACAAGAACTCTAGTTTAAAAGCACCACAGGGGTTTCAACAACGGCCAACCAAACTCGAGCATGAAACTCCAAAAACAAGAAGAATGGCCATAAATATAACTTCAAACATGCCACAACCAATTCCAGCCTTTAATCATAATGGTAATAACAACAACAAGAATACTAGCATTCAAAGAGAAGCCCCTAAACCCCTAAACCCCCAAACCGCTAAACCCCCAAACCCCTAAACCCTGAGTCCCTAAACCCTAAAGCCCTAAACCCCCTAAACGCTTTTTTCAGAGCAAAAAACGCCACAGGCAGCAGGCGATTCAGCTGATGGAGCTGGCAGAGTCTTCCAGTCTCTACCCTGATGCCACTCTGTCCCGCATTTTTCTTTTGAAGAAAACAGGTGGGGGGGAGGAGGTCATATTTCTTTTCAGGGTTTAGGGTGCAGTTTGTTTTATAGGGGTTTTCCAGAATTTTGTAGGGATTTTTTGGGTTTAGGGTGTGCGTACCTGGTAGTGGCCTTATGACGGCTTGAAAAGGGCTTTGTTTGTGTTTCAAACGCGTCTTTTGTAGGATTCTGTCATGGGCTTATAGGTGGTTATACGTGCCCTGGGCTCCAGTGGAGTATGTCTCACGTTCAGGTTCACGGCTTAGGCCTGCGTTTCCCAGTATTAAACTTTCGAGTTTCAGAGTTGAGATTGATGTAGAGAACCCCACTGCAGAACGAACTGTATGTATGAGCCCTCCCACCTGGAGCAGACACAGGAAATCACCTGCAGCGCCGCCATCAGTGCCTGTGGCAGCTGCAGCCAACTTGCACTAGCAACTGGGCGAAGTTTGGAAGTTTCATTCCGCCCGTGACTCTACATCTCCATTAATCATTGACCTGCGCACCTTGAACCCTGCATGATTTCGCTCTCAACCCGGTAACCCTAAACAGCTGGTTAGCTTTGAACTCACACCTCTAAACAGCAACAGCCAACAAAGCTTGAACACAACCTCCGACGGCTTTGCCGGGACTCATGCGAATGCCAGGCTCTTTCTCTTCTGGAGGAGACAGAGATCAGGCAAGTTCAGCCGAACGACGCTTGCACAAAGATGATTAGGGGGCTTGGGCTTCGGGGTTTGGGGTGTGGGACTCTGGGTCTCGTGGTCTTCTATACTGGGTTTGCCGCCAGCAGAACCCTGAACCCTAAACCCGTGCCTATGTAGATTCCCGAGTTAATCCCTAGCAGATGGAAAAAGGCCCTCAAAAAAAGCAAAAAAACTAAACCCAGTCTAGACTTTTGCGTCAAAAACCCTGGCAAAGAAGGTCTATGACGGAAAACCCTGGCAAAGAAGGTCTATGACGGGAGGTCCGCGCTCAACCCTCAGACTTCGAAACAACCCAAACCAATAAGTCTTACACCAGGGTAAGGGATAGGGTGCATGGTGAAGTTTCATTGTTTTAAAGAACCCTAGACCCTAAACCCTAAACCCTGACCGGTTTAGGGAGTAGCACCAGGTCTTGGACCCCCCCCCAAAAAAAAAAGCAAAGGAAACGGAGGGTCCTTACCAGGAGATACCACCGGGGCCTAAGAATAACTTACCAATACTATTTTTCGGGAGTTCCTGATTAGAAGTAGAGTAGAAAAGGGGCACAAAACCCTTCAAACGAATAAGGGCCCCTATATTACCACACCCACCCGTAAACCCAGAACCCTACAGTGGCCCTACAGCATCTTACCGGGTTGGGGGGTTCAGGGTTAGGGTTTACATAGGTTTTAGGGTTTAGG